AGGGAAGGGGCTGGGGCAGAACCACAGGGCCATCAGCGGGTAACGGCCCCTGTGACCTCAGCCCTGGGCCCCTTGCCGGCATCCCCGGGCCGGGGTCTCCCTTGGAGGGGGGCCAAAGGACCGCATCGCTGCTGGTGAGCCGCTGGTGTGCTGGTCCTGCCCTGCATGAGCACCCTGCCCTACAATGGAGGCCCTGTGCCATGTACTGCTCTGGGTGGCATCCTGCCCCACACAGTGACATGCCATGTCATGTCTTGCCTGTGCTGTGACATCTGCTGCCCCAGGACCAGAAAGCCCGATGAAGCATGGAGGTACCTTTCTGGTGCTGGTGGTCCCAGCTCCACTTGGGACTAATTAAAGAGCAGTATTGTCACACAGGCACTGGCCAAAGGTGGTTTCAGTCACTTCTCATCTGTCTCTGAGGCTCCATCAGTACTTGCTCTGAGATTGAGGTCTGTTTTGTCCTGTCCTGCCCTGGCAAGGGTCCCCAGCCGTGCCTGGGGCTGAGGTGGCTGTGGGCTGGAGCACACAGCTCCCACTCCCACAGGGCCGCAGCATCCCCATCGATCTCCTCTTCTCTCTTCCCTGCAGCACAGTGAGAAGCTGAGCTGCAGGTGACAGCAGTGTTGCCTTGCAGGCAGCCTGACCTCACACCAAGGTAGGACCCCGTGGGAGACATTGGCACGGCACAAGTTCAAGTTATTTGGCTGTTCAAATCTAGATTCTGAGTAGGAAACACAATATGTAACATCAGAGCCATCTTCCTCACTAGAGCCACACATGCAGCCCAAGGATGAGCTCCGGTGGCTTTGTGCCCTGCTGTCCTCTCCACAGGCAGCAGGGGACAGCCCGCAGCAAACTCAACATTTCTTCATCCCTTGTGAGACCTGGCAGTCCACAGCCAGTCCCATCTCATGTGTCATGACCAGGGCTTTGACCACAACAACAGGGCAAAGAAAAAAGGCAACAGCACTTCACCAGGGCACTGGAGCGGGGACATGTCCCCTTTGAATATATTTCATTTCAGTTTGAGGGAGCTCCATGGCCAAGAGCTGGCCAGATGTGGCCAATGCTGTGGCAGCCCCACTGGGTTCCAGAGACACCTGTGCACCACAGCATCCCTTCTCTCCATGTCCCATCGAGCTCGTGGGGATACAGCATCACTGGCCAAACCCACATTCTTCAGGTCATGGACATGCTGCAGGAGATGCTCACCACCATCTGATCCCTGAAAACCATTGTTGAGGGCTGCCAGGAGGAGCTGCAGCTCCTGAAGGACAATTTTCAGAAGATGCATGTGCAGAGATGGGTCATTTGCTGGAGAGCTCTTAGCAGAGGGGCTGGGCTGCTTAGGGACCTGCACGATCTGCAAGGATACAGAGGATGGCAGGGAGGAGGTCCCAGGCTTGAGCTTCCTGAGGCCAAGCTGGGAGATGTGGGACCTACTCTGGAGCCCAGGGGTTTTGGATAGACACTGCTTCCAGCCACGGAGCCCAGCCCTGTCCCTGCTGATGCTGATCTCCACCATTCCAAGCCTCTGTGGATGCCAAATGCCCCCATGCCTGGGGGGGTCTGGAGAAGCCAAGAGAGAAGATGGTACAGCAAGACAAGCACGGCCACCTCCTGCAGAGCATCCTGGACCAGCTGGAGAGTGGGGAGAGCCCTGGCAGAGCGGCTGGGAGCAGGCATCTGCGGCACCATTCACAGAGACACTCAGCACCGAGCTCCTGGGACCGTCCCCAAGCTGGCAAGGGTCAGGCTTCAGGAAATCCTTACAGAAAATGCACTTCCAAGGACTGCTCTGGCTGTGGTCAGCTGCCTGGGCAAGCATCTGGCCCTGCAGGGCTCTTTTGGCAGGGTCCATGTCACCTTCCCAGTCACTGGAGCAGGGACATCCATCAATGGGCACTCCATGTCCTGGTGGCTTCCACCAGCCACCTCCACGGCTTTTGTCCCTCCTACAGTGCTAGGAGAGCATCATCAGAAACACAGGAGTAGATCATACCCTCTAGATTTTGAACCCCCAGGAGACCTGCAGGGTTGGGAGCAGCACTGGGGGTGGTGGCAAGGTTTGGCATTGGCCTCCTCATCCTCAGCCATCCCATCTGGGTCCCCAGGCTGCTGCAGATCCCTTGTCCCTCTTCCTTGCTCTCAGCCATGCTGGCATGGCTGGCAGGGACATGGCCACTGTGCTCTGTGTTACGCCAGGGTGTCCTGGTGCTGGCCATGCCTGGGAGCTGGCAGCAGGGCCAGGTGGTCTCTGCAGCCATAAAGCCACCTGGGTTTGGGATGGCACCATACTGGGGGCCTGCAGCAGCCAGCACTGCCTGGAGCAAAGCTTTGGTGTCTGTTTTCAGCTGACTTGGGGACCTTGGAAGACACAGCTGTCTGACTGCAGGAGATGCCGGGTGAGATGAGGCATCCACAGAATGGAGGAGAGAAGGTTCCCAGCTGCTTGGGTCTCCAGTTGGGGTGCTTGAGGGTCTGGGGGCTGCAGCCTCATACCTCACTTACCAGGGATGTACTGAGGCATCCTTTGGGATATCCTCACTAGCCACTCACTAGTGCCACCCGTAAGCACACCTTCTTACCTCTCTTGGGTCCTGCAGTCACCCTGTTTCTCACCCAAGGCCATGTTTGCCTTCCCGAGGGGCCAGATTTTTGTCCAGGAGATGCTGGGCCAGGTGGGGCAGCCACAAGAGCCATGCACAAGGCTGCAGGAAGCTGTGGAGCAGCTGTGGGGGGCCACCAAGGACACCCAGGGGAACACAGCCCTGAGCTAAGCTTGGAAGCCACTTGTGCCATGGTCAGTGTCTGAACCAGGCCGAGTGCAGGCTTGCCCAGACTCAGCACAAGGGATGGCTGGCACTAGGCCCTTCTCAAAAGGCAGACAAGGCTGTGCTGGAGACCACAGTGAGCCAGGAGGAGCTGCAACATGACATGGTCCAACTGAGTGAGATGATGCAGGACCTGCTGCAGAGGATGTCTCTGCTGGGCCAGGACAGGCAAAAAGTCCTTGAGAAGCTCCTCAGCGAGATGGACTCCAAGGCAGCAGTGTCACCCAGGGAGGGTGGTGGGATGGAGGGAGGCACCAGGCCAGGGAGCATCCCACCTTCTCCTCTCTTGTACTGTCCCATCCCTTCCCATGCTGTCCTACCCTGCCCTGTCCATCCCACCCAGACCTTGTTTGTCCCACCCTGCCCATGGAGTGCCAGCCACCCACAGGAACTCATGCAGTCCCTGGGGTTCTGATTGGGCACTGAGCAGCCACCCCCATGCTGCAGGCAGCTCTTTGATCCAGTGAAGCACACCTTCTGCGACAGACCCCGGCACCGTGGGTAGTGTGCAGCCCCTCAGGACAAACCTCCATGACACATCTCCACCAGAGACTGCTGCCCGACTTTGCCTCCATGTCCTCATCTGCAGGCACTTGGTGACGGTCTGAAAGGCC